CAAATTTTGTGATATTTGATTAACTACACAATAAAGAGAATGCAATTAATTTTGAATAATATAATTAAACATCATATAATAATTAATCGAATAGTCAATATTAGCATGACATAAGTTACGTGTTTTCCTTTAGGGATAAACACAAATTTGAAATAATTTTATTCTTCGAAACATGTGTTACTTTGAGAGCACGTTGTATTTTACTATTGCTTCTTCAAAACGAACATGTCCATATTCTTCTAAATTATTAGAAATTATAATTCATGCTTTTCAAAAGCAAGTAATATTCTTTAAAAACATTAATTATAATATTAAGCTACTTCAAGAGTAACAATATGATACATTATTATTTTAAAAACATTAGCTCTTCATGAAATAAAAACATTTGTAGAGTTCTGTTTTTTCAGAAATAACGACAAAATATTTGTAATAGGCAAGGGTACTAATTTCATAAATCATGCTTGTATTAAAAAGAACATAAATGAGATAATTAATTAAGACAGGTATGAATTAATACGTACATATAATATTTTAGACCATTAATTGCAATAGAATTCATGACAGCACATGGATAGGATTTAGAATGCACTTATTACATAGAAAATCTTTTGGAACATGGACAACACTAATTACAAAACTCATAGGCGCATATTCCGAAGAAATTTTATGCATCACATGGAGGAATCTCTCCTGAAACAACTTATGTATAAAAGAAATCCACTTGTTATCAAATTAATTTTGATGTATGTGATAAATGATTATACTTTAAAAAATTACTACATTTTCTAACTTTGAAGAATTAAGCTTTCGTCCTGATAACGTGTTATGAAAAGAGATAAAAATGGAAGAAAAAATAAAAGTCAATGGATTTGTGTATATTTTATTAAGAATTAAAGTCTTATATCTATAGGAAAGGATCAGGAATACAACGATAATAATATCTAGAACTGTAGGGGCAAAATTACCATTCATTAATAAATTTATCATTTACAACAAAATAATCAATGTTACATTCCGTTTTATTATTATTATTATTAATTGAAAAAGTCGTTCATGAACTTCAATTGCTTTTCTAATTGCTATTTAATTTAATTATCAACGAAATTTTGGAAGTAATCTTAATTTTTAATATTTTACTTTATTTAATAACAAAATTGTATCGCCAAATAGATTTATTTTAAAAAATTTAAACCATCCTCTACTAACAATTCTACTATTAATCTTGAAATATAAATATTTTAATTGTTATGTTGTACCTACTTTTTGTCAGTAATATTTATTATTTTACTTTTATCGTTTTATTTTAATGATAAGTTTTTTTTTTTTTTTATAACCCAGGTGTCCCAACTTAGTCGGACTAAATCCTGGACCTCTAGCCCCGGCCCCTCAGTGACTAGTGGAGGTAAATCGCAGGTTGTGCCCTTGTTGGTTCCCAAGTTCCCACATGGCTTTTACTCCTTCCCCAAAGGGACCCTCCTCCATGGTTATTACATCACCAAGCTGCTCCAACCCTTCCTCTGGTTATTACATCACTTGGCTGCTCCAACCAGGAATCGAACTCTCCACACTTGGTTTCAGAGCCCTCCAATGTGATTGTTCCGCCAACTTGAATGTGCCCTGAGGGGCTATTTTAATGATAAGTTTTTCATGTGAAGAGCATGAGTTAATTTATAGTTCAACTATGTTGACTCGTCATCCACATTAAGTCTTTCCAAGGATTAGTTGAAGACATTTAAAGTACTTGAAAAATAAGTTTGTCTAATTTCAAGAACATTGAGAATATTGTTATTACGAGACAATGTCACATTTAAGTATTTGAGAGGATTTGTCCATCAACAACGATTCATCATCCACGGTAGAGTCATTTTCAAGATAATTTGAAAAGTTAGTTTACAAATGTCTCGCTTTGACACGTACCAAATTTATTCTTGAATAGTTGAATGATTCACATTTGGGTAACTGTTTTAATTAGTCGTCCAGATCTACAAATCAATCAATATATATTCTTTAGTTGTAAAAATCCCCCTCGATTGTTGGAATTGAAGCGTAATAATCACGTTAAACTGGACCTTGTGTCAATTTCAAAAATTAACTCTAGCAAAGCCAAGTAAGATTATATTCATGAGCATAAAGTTGATGGGGATTACTTGGACTTTTTTGATAACAAGTACACATGCAAATAAAGAAGGAACCAAGGTGCCCCTCATGGGTGATCGAGTTAGTGGAGTAGGTCCGAGTTCGATTCCCCTACTAATATTTTCTCGATTGAGCCTATAGCACCGAATTTGCTTAGTACGGTTTACCTGGCTGACGTGGTTTGTAGGCTATTGCGTCAACTCGAAGGTTTACCCAGTGCGCGCCCAAATGGTAGTATTAAAAAAAAAAAAAAAAGAAGGAACCCAAGGCCAAATCATATTTCTCCTCTGATAAAAAGGACATACATCCCTATTATCGGTCCCAAGAACAAGAAGAACGAGAAAAAAACTGAAATCTTTTTATTTCGGCTCATTTATTTCTTTCCTTTTCTCTATTATTCTAATTTATTAATGAAATGTTATACCAAATAAAATTATGTAGAAAATTTAATAAAATAGATGTAATTTATTGCTGAACCTAAAATTTGCTAAATAAAGCTTTCTCGGCCTTGCAGAGAGAAAACAACAAACTGCAAGTGGTGGCTACACTGTCTTGCTGTGACTGCCCTTCTTCTGTAGAACATAAATTCTCTTGGTCTTGTTATTTTGTCATTAGTTTCCCTCCCTGCCACTTGTGATGTGTAGTATGTATTCTTTTAGGTGTAGTGTGTTGTGTATGTGTAGTTGGAGTTCAGTTGGGTGACTGTAAAATTGAGGAAAGAATGTTGCTGTGGCGAATTAGTGGCCCTAGCTAGTGTTCTTCACTTTTGTATGTGGGAAGATACTGTAATCTGATTCACCAATATTAATGAGACTTTAGTATTTGTCCTTTAGTTGTTGGTGTTAATTTTGGTGTTTATTGTGCTGTTGAGTTTGGTGTTCATTTGGGTGGCTGTGAATGTGAACTTATTATTGTAGGAAGAATTAGTTTCCAGTTTTCAATTAACATCAACCCAGGCAAATTGGTGATCTGAATATGATGGTGTTGATCTGAATATGCTGGTGGTGGTGAACTGAATTGGCAATACAACTGAAATAAACACCTAACACAAACTAAAATGCTACTGGTTTACTAAAAACGCCGCTGGTATACTAAAATTTATATGCTTCTGGTGAGCTAAAAATGTTGCAACTGTACTAGAATAATAACCAAACATCAATACAATGAAAGTTGATTTATAGACACGCCTTAGACATTAAGAAGGCAGAGTAACTACAAAAGATAGTGGTCATTTTTGTTCAGCCACATAATCATAATCAAAATCAAAAGATGCGGTCATTCTAGTCTAATTACAAAACCAAGTGCACAGGTTACAAAAAAATGCCAAGTACACAGGTTACAAAAAATGCCAACTGCACAGGTTACAAAAAAAATGCCAACTTTACTTCTTGATGGATCATTGCAAACTTCTTATTACTTCCATGTTATCTTGTGTCTCAAACACTTGTGAAGATGCTATGGTCATCACTTGAGCCTCTTGCACTGGTAAGTTGCTTGACACATTTTCATTGGACAAACTACATTTGTTCAAACATGTCGAGTTCTGAGTCACCTGAACGTGTTGCAATATACTTACATTAAAATTGTGACATATGAATAATAGAATTAGTGGTTAATTCATTATGACCTTCACAACATACCTTATTACAACCCCTTGATTTTTTTGTTATCATCTCCAACGAACTTCTCATATGAAGTTTCTTTGGAGCGCCTTTACGTTTTGTACACTTCGGATCGAAAATGTTGAAGCTTTCTACATTCCCTCCTCCAAGTCCATGTGCGGCCAAGTGATTACGTTTCGATTTTAACAATTCATTCGTCTGCAATTCAACCCACTTCATTAACTGCTTTGAACGGTCTTCATCAACTACAACCAAGTCAGCCATCTTTGTTAGAGCAGCACACAACTGCTCATATCTCAACTGCTCAGGGTACTCACCAAACCATCAAACGTTGTTGCCACCCGCGTGTAAGGTCTACTCACATCTTTCCTCCATCTTTGTAAAATGTACTTTTCCGAAAGTACTGACACCTCATTCCGAATTAAAAATGAGACCGCGTGTTTGCAAACGATGCCTCAAAACTCAAACAAATGACAGTTATACACAATCTCGCAGTTGTCTTTACAAAAAGAAACTGTAAATATTTGTCTTCCTCCCTTCCTCAAGGATGATATCTTCACGGACCTCGTACTTCGCTATCCCGCATAACTCCTCCGCGGATAGTACTTCACAGTAAACCTTTCAGGTGAATTCTTTTTGAAACTCCTTGAATTTCGAGATTGTATAAACTTCTTGAAATTGCTTTTCCATTCTGTAATGCAGCAGCATATCCTTCACGAAGTCTTAAACGCCGTACTTTATCAATGAAATTCCTACAGTCTTTCTCAACACAAGTCATGTTCTCGAATCCACCTGCCTCCACTACAGTTGAGTTATAGCTTTTATGCAATGGGATCCTTGCTATGTCATTGACCTCAAGCCGTCTTTTAACGTGTGCACTAAGTTCTCGATTGCATCGATATAACCTAGATTTAGATGGGCTTGTCTTATGGTTGTGTTCTAACTGCACAACGTTTATTCGCCATATTCCACGAGCATCAGAACACACTGTCAACCTAGCTCTGCACCCTATTTCAATTGTTGGCGGAGGATTCAAAGAAGTACTTCTATTAGTCTTCCGTCGACCTTCTCGACTACAAGTAAAGCTCACGTATCGAACAACCCTATCATCACCCTTCTTAGAGTTTCTTTTTCTAACAGGGAACCCTATTTCGTAAGCATACTTCTTGTAGAATTCAAATAACTCCTTTTCACTGTCAAATTTCATACCAACCTTCGGAACCAAAATCTCAGTTTCTACTCCCAACCTATCATCAGCCAAACAATCATCACTAACGAACTCCGATGAGTAAACCTCCATTCCTGCATTTGAGCAATTAAATATCTCAGATTCAAATATTTAATTAACTAAAATTTCATACAGATTGACAAATATTGCATTCCAAATAATTAATGTACTAAGTTACCACTTTTCATATTGCAGTCTACCATGTTGTCGGACGGATGCTCAATTTGTTGGTTACTTTCGGTCTACTTATCTGTAGCAGAGGAAGGAGATGAAGAAAACGTATAAAAAGGAAGGAGAACTATTTCACAAGCTTGCTGAAATATATCAAAACTTTCACAAAAAAGGAAGCAAAGTTATTTCACCATTGCTGCAGTACTCACCGTGGAGTTCCTTGCCTTCGGCTCCCTCACCGTCGACTTCATTGCTGTCTATACTGGGTTGAATCTCGTTGCCCGGCTTCCCTCTTCTACAGTTGTTTGTTGATGTGAATGAGGAAAATGTGAAGCTTCAATAGGGGAAATGTGAAGAGAACGATTGTTATGGCTGCCCTCCTTCTACAATCGATTAATGTCGATCTCCCTAATGTTCAGCTTCAAGGAGGGAAATTGGAAGGGCACTATCTGTGAATATTACGAGGGTTTCCATTTTGGGTTCAATTTTTGCTGTTTTGTTTTTTTTTT